TGATTCTCAGTACTAACTAACTAGCTGACTATGCTTCATCCAGCTCTTGACCTGATTTCACAATACAGGTATCCTTTCTAACACCATTTCCTCATGTGTGTGTATCACACCCAGAAATCTAAATTTTCTTTAGTTTCTTTCTTAAACACTAAAAATGGTGAAGCAGTTGTATAAAACTATTTAATTCCCAATTGCTTCAATCAAGTCATGTGAATGAATATAAAAATTAAGGTTATGTACTGTTACATCTACCTCTTTGTCAAAACATTTTAGTTTTAAATATTGAAATTAATAGGAAAGTCAGACATTGCTGATCTTTTCTCAGATGTTTAAAAAAGTAAATGTTACATAAAGAGTATTTATATTTTAATTGATGACAAAATATTGAACAATGATAAAAGTGGCTCATAATGCTCATTTTAAAACTTCAGTTGACTAGAAGTACCTCAATAATGAGAGTATATAAATTAGCATTTAAAGTAAATAAATAGGAATAATAAGTCTCAACTTTGATATTTATGATATAAATATACAAGCCTGCAATTTAATGTCATGAAATAAATAGAAAATCAGACTTAAGAACTGTTAAAATCATAAAGTTCCATGTGGAAGACTGCGTTTAGTCAAGATGTGACAGTGTGAAACCTTGAAATTAATAGAAAAGCAGAAAATTATTTAGCTTTGGTTATATTACTTCTGTTTGTGAGATAATAGTGAATTACTCTGCTTGAGTGACTAATAATAGCTGTGAATATGATGGGTGTAACATACTCCACTTATGAGTCACTTGAACTGCTAATGTTCACCAATTTTAGGAGTATAAAAGTGATTCATATCTTTTGCTTTAACTATTTCACATCAGTTTCTGCAAATGAATGTCTTTCTGTAATTTTATCAGGTTCTGCAGTATGCATAAGGTACTTTATTCAAATGATGTCAGAAAAACACATAGGTTCAAGAAGTCTTAATGTAAAATGACAAAAACCTTGTAACCCAAGTGCTTTTGAAAGGTAAACATTTCTTCTTCAGGGGCAAACTCTACTCAAAAGTATTTTTTGCGAAACACTTATAAATGTATCGGCATTTTATGTATATGTGGCTGAGGATTTTTCTATAGTAGGTGTCTGTGGCTTGTTAGCAATAAATTCAAACAATAAACAGACAGCACATAATCCACTTGTTTTAAAATATTGTATTCAAAACAACAAACATATATACAAAAATTCTTTAGAATCTATTTGACAAGACAAGCTATTTTTATGTACTCTTATAACAATAGTATTAATGAATACTTCATTCTTGTTACCCCAATTCTAATTCGAGCTTTAAATAATTGTCTCCTTTTCATTAAAGTCCACACCCTTTGAAAAGACAAATTATTCTCCTTATCTCTATTAAACTGTGAAACACACTTTAAAATATAGCCCATTATGGCTAATCACTTAATGCTGGCTAACTTTACGTTTTCTAACTTTATTCTGACTGAACTTTACTTTTTCTCTCTTTTACTTGTGCTCATTAGTCACCTATGTATATATACCTCATTCACTGAGGCCTCGAACTTTCTATAAATTATGAGAGAAATGCTATAATGTAACAATACTCACTTGTGGTAATGAGAAAAAATACTGAGGATTCAAGTAACGTGACATCAACAATATTAGTAAAGCCTACACAACAATTTAATTGCAAACACAACGTATGACTTGTACAGAGTTATGTTATGAAATTTGCCACAACTAACACTTTTAAAACAATCTATCTCCAACACTCCTGACTTAAAAACTAAACAATCATTAAATATTAACTCACAAAATAAATGTAATAATAATGCCTACACTAAACAGCCTTGTATATCCAACAAAATGATACATGGAACAAAGTAATATAATGAAACATTCACTAAGTATGGCACTCAGAATGAAACCTATCCTATTAAAAGAATATATCTTTGGTCAGATTGGTGCTTCTAATGAAAATTAAGCCCCCAAAAATAATGCTGTGAGTGATATCTCTAAAGAAAGCAATAACTGATGATGATATAGCTTTGAAAATAAGGAATGTATTCCAAAATTAGCTATTAGAGCTTCAGCCTTTCTGGTGTGTAATGTGTTTCATAAAACATCTATGAGATGCTTGTTTGTATGTATGACCGTTATGCTTTCAGACCGAGAACATGCTGCATAAGCATGCATAGTTAGAATGTTTCCCCAAGTAAAACAACGCATGCGCGTTATTCACTCTACGACAAACAGTCTGTCTGCGGCAGAGAGCTGCAAAGCTCAGTGATCAAGTCATTATAATTGCTGTATGAAACTAGAAGTAACA